TTGTGCCTTTGGATTTTTCGCTCAAATATCGGGTGAACAACGAATAAAAATGATCCATTTCATTTTGAAAAATCTTAATAATTCGATTATAAAAAGTTAAAATCTGATTTAAAAAAAAAAAAAAGTTTAATACCAAGTGTATAATACTTACTCTACGAGCCTTCACGTCTGGGATCGCGTTAGCAAGTCTGCTTAGTTCTGAACGCATAGCCTTGGCAGCAACTCCAGAGCTTGCGCTTTGAAAGTCCTTTTAAAAAAGAAACTTGAATACGTAATCAATAAATGAGTAACGCGTTCAAATACATGCTTACCATGGCCGACAAGGTGTGGGGATGGTGACGCCCCGAGTTTGTTACAGCGTTAGATAGTGCCGTAGTCATAATTTAAAAACTTTATTTAATAATTGGGTAGATAAAGTAAAATAATTCGTTAGAAAGAATACGCTTATAAAAGTTACAAATGCGAATTGTTTGCTGATACCAAATTGCTGTCTTAAATACATACATTATTATATCATAATATCGTCATAGCTAGATTATCCTTCCTATTTTAAATATGTAATATTAGATTACGTTGCGAGTATGTCTTTTAAACCGAAGTCGAAAATTTATTGGTTGATGTTAAATGCATATTTGGGATCATTCACATGATTATCAGAATAGGCAGCGCTAACTCATAGAAAGACTTTCATATGATTGGCTGTTTAAATCAATTTTTTATACAGTTTAGAAGTACAAAGAATTAATTTTTTACTGTATTACAGTATTAAGAGTTGTAGGACTCCACGATAATAACCTAATTTTTCTATTTTTTAGAAGTCGTTATTATGCTAACTTCATCAAATTTCTTAGTGGCGTTCAATGAGTCGGATCAGGTTGGATTTGTGTACATTATTGGACAGACGACAAAAAATAACAGGCAATTTTTTTTTGTCGGAGTTAATGTCACGCCATGTGCTGCGTAGCAACACATGAGTGAAATTAACTCTGTTGAAAAAAAAAAAGCCTGTTATTTGTAGTCAATAATGATGTTATCCGATAGTTAATATGACCATGTGAAGTTTTTTCTGTGATATTTTGCAAAACTGATTACGTAACTTCATGCAAAAATAAATGTCAAATCAAATTTTCCGATAACTGATGATGTTATGTAGATGTTATGTACGTATCTATAAAATCGATCGGTGTAACATATCTCCTGATTGAACTATGTATCAACCACCACATCTACCGTCTTCGCCTATTGACGTCTTTCCGAGTCCTCGAAACATTCTCCGCTTTCGTGACTTTCACGCTAGACACTTTACTCAAAAAAACTTTTTTCTACACGCACTAAATCCAAACCCATGGCCTTTGTGGGGTACTACTGAAGGATCAGAGAATTGGGAGCAAGGACCCGACCTTGCCGAAAATTTTGATGCATATGAAGAAGGATGGAATGCAGAAGAAGGATGGAACGCAGAAGAATGGAATGCAGAAGAAGAATGGAATGCAGAAGAGGAAGAATGGAATGCAGAAAAAGAATGGAATGCGGAAGAAAAGGAGGAAGAGAAAGTAGAGTTTGTATTGAGTGAAGAAGCTATCTCGATGTTTCGGTTTTCTGAGTTAAGAAAACAACAACGTAATTTCTTCAGAAATCCGTTAGATATTGGATCTCTTGCAGTATATGTGATTCCTTTGCCAAAATGTATTATGATTATAAAATTGGTCACCTATACTGCAAGAGATCATAGATACTTATTCAAATTGATACTAATCAATATCAATTCATTTTTTATAATTTAACTTCCTTTAGTTGCAGAAGCAAATCAATCGTCTGCATCTCAAGGTCAATCCTCCGAGCAATTTGACGATTTATCAACATCTATATATCTTACCTCTGAACCAGATCCATCTCTAATTTCACCAACAAACTTAACTACCGTAGAATTACAACAATTATATGGTGATTCTTATCCAACTATAAACATTTTAGAAGCAGCAGTGAATTCTGCTTATGTTCAAAGTTATAAAGTTGATAAAGATCACGATGATGAAAATCGTAATGAAATAGTATATTGGCCTGTCATACCTTTAAGATTTGTTTAATAGATAATGCTGCGATAAACAAAAGTAAGCAAATTATTTAGATTATATAATTATATTCTCATATTTATGATTCAACATTTTATCCACAATGATGATAAAATGTCTCATCCTTGTACTTTGAATGAACATTACTCCTGGGTATTGGTCATCGTGACGACAACATAATTGGCCAAAGTTTAAACCTGAGTGGATGAACAATTCACATAAAAATTAATTTTATATTAAGCATATAGATTTACTAATTTATTTTCTTAATTTTTATTTAACTATTATTACTAGCTGGAATTTTATTATCTAATCTTTAGTATTAGAATGCACTCGTCATAGCGTCGTGCGCGAGCAGTGATACTTTTACTATTGCGATCGTATACATTTACTGCCAATCCATTGTGTTCTCCGGGGCTGATTGTGTAAGCTAATGAACCGAAGTGAATAAATAAAAGATAAATTTCATTAACAATAATGAAATATACATTATAAAAAATCAAATTTTAAGGTATATAGTACTCATAACTATACTGTGAGTTTTGACACAAGGCTATCGATTAGTGATACAAACGGTTGACCTGGCTCGGCTTACGGCTAGTTTTGACCAAGCAGACCAGTGTAATCGTGCCGTTATTCTAATTAAAAACCAATCGGAACTAAAACAAACTACTGCTCATAGATACTTGATGCGACATTTTAACCGGATTCAAATTGCAAAGCTAAAAATGGATTTCTTGCTGTCGTTGTGCATTTACTATTGGTCAATGGTCATGTGATAGTCTTGGACCGAGCCATTTCTGGAACACGTACTAGGGATCTGCAAATGCCCATGCCTGGCACATTGGCACCAGGCCGGGCACTAGTGCCTAAGCCCTGTGCCTATAGACACAAAAGTGTCAGGTACTATTAAAGGCAATGGCATATAGTACCAGGCACTATTAAAGGTATGGTATGGAAACAAAGTGCTAGGCACAAGGTACCAGGCACAAGTGCCAGGCAAAATACCAGGCACAATTAAATAATAAATAACAAATTTTTGTACCTATGCCTATGCAAAGTTTTTGCGCCTGTGCACATGCTTATGCCAAATTTTTAAGCCCATGTTTATGCCTATACTTGAGCATTCATGCTCGTATCCATGCCCATGCCTAGATCGTTGTTGGGCACAGGCACAAGTCCGGGTTGCAGACCTCTAGTACGTACGTAGCTGAACGGTTAACAACTCGGTATAGCCGTTTGGCTCGCGGTTCGGTTCAAGCCATTGCATCGCTACTGCCGATTCAATAAATTATTCATAACCCAAGACTGATAGATATTGTTTCCTTAGAATGAATAAATAGTTTAACTATGGCTTTTATTATAAATAGTTTAACTACGGCTTTTATTTTATAGAGCCACAGGTTACCTCTGCATGCTCATAAATAGTTCGCAAAGAGTTTGCGTTTGTTCGACTTAACTAGCTGTTTAAACCTCTGACAACAGGTATAAAATTTGGATCTAGCTTAGGCACAAGTAGTTTCATAGATTGTAAATCTCGTTCAATTGCTTTTATATTATCGCGTGCCTCCTTTTAAAAAAATCAGAAACAAATTTAATTGCTTGGTCGTTCAAATAAAATTAAAAATTAGAATAAATAATAAACCTCAACAATTTTCTCAACTTTATCCAATCCGCTGCTTGTTTGAGATAAAACACGAGTTACTTGAGACAACTGATCATTTGAATGGTTTACTAATTCTTGTCGGAATCGATGGCTTATTTCACCTTTTAAAGACGTTATTAATTAATAAGTATATTATTGATAATTAATAAAGAAACAGAAGTTATATTTACTTAATTCCTGTTGAGAGGTTGGAACCCTGGTAAAAATTCATATTATTAGTATATGGAGACAACACAAAATTTTTAATTATTCGATATCGGCTCACTTTTTTGTCGAACTGGTCATCATTATTGAGAAAGACGATGTCAATGTAACGCAAATGCTAAATCTACTATTTTAATCACGTGATAAAGTCATTTGCCCCAGTCAATGAGAATTGTCAGTTTAGAAAAAATCGTTATAATTTCAAATTTGAATATAATAAATCGCTTCTGCGCACTAACAAAAAATTTTCATGGATCTTAACAGTAATCTGCGTTTAAGCAATCGATTTTGTTTTGTCGAAAAATGGTCATATAGGAAGAAGATGCTGGTGAAATTAAACTAGAGTGGTGAATGATGGTATGGTGTAATTGGTGAAATGATAATATATCAATACTCGGTTACATAACCAAATCTTTGTTATATGGGGTGTTATCTATTAAAACAGCCCTTTTTTACAATTTTTTGAAAATTGAGTTTTTATTAGATTCATATAA